TTGGATAACGTGGAGTAGCATATTACTGTTCAAAAGAAATGAACATTTTTATTCAGCAAGGACATTCATAATGTTCTTTTAAGCTTTCTATTCACCAAGAAACTATATCATTGTTTCCACAAAATATATAACATATATAATATTCAGCAGCACAGCCGTTTTCAACATTGATAATAATAAGAAATGTTTACTGAGCAGCAAATCTGGATATTGGAATGATTTCTGAAGGATCTTGTGACACTGAAGACTGGAGTAATGATGCTTTAAGCAAAAATTAAATGACATTTTAAAATATATAAAAACAGAAGGCAGTCATTCTAAAATGTAATAATATTTTACAATATTAAAGTTTGTACTGTATTTGTGATCAAATAAATGCATTCTTGGTGAGCATAAGAAACTTCTTTCAGAACCATAAAAAGCAAAAAAACAAACCCTTACCAACCTCAAACTTTTGAACGGTAGTGTAATATATTTCAAAGTACCACACAATTTCCAGCACTGTACCACCTCAGTACTTTTTTATAAAGGTTATCAAGTCAAAAAGCAAAAACAATGCACGGTTTCTGTTTTCAGAAAATTCTCCAACTAAAAGACATGTTTGTCAACTCTTGGACAAAATCCATAAATTGCCCAAACCCTGAAGATTTCAGCACACCGCTGAGGCCAGAATTTGAACCAGTTGCAATTAGACTGAAAGAAAATCCCAACTGAAACTCCCACAACAAGGCTGGATCCAGGCGCTAGCTCTACCTGACGCCTCTGGTGCAGTAGCAAATGCCTCGAAGGCTTCCTCATACTTCTCCTCTGCAGTGGAACTACAAATCATTTTCACTTTAAGCACAGCTTGTCATGAGCAGATATGATTCATGATCAGAAACGATTAACAGGCACAGGATAGCTTTTCCATATTGAGTTACCCAGACCCCTGCATGGGCTACTTGCAGAAAGTCCTGGCTGCTTTAATTACACTGCACGGTCAGGCTTTTCTAGGCTTTTATTATAGGTCTAGACTAGTCAGACCGTGGTTATATTGTCCTTTGAAATTAAAATAATTTTTGTTAGTTTAGTACAGCAGCAATATACTCCGATAAAGGGTTCTTTTTCAGGTTGGCCCTGAGAAGGAAGTCTCTTTCGAACAATTCTGCAGGGTTTTGATAATGACCCTGTGTCCCAATTTGCACACATCTCTGTTAGAAAGTATGCAAAAAGCAGTATTGGCTAAATGAGCATCTGTTGACATTCAGAAGTATGCAACCCAGGGATGTTAAAGGTAAAAAAAAATAAAAAATACACAGTTCAAATCAAACGGTGGATTAAGTAGGTCTAAAAATATATCTATAGTACACAACACACTTCTTCAACAGTCGGGAATTTCTTCCTCAATTCAAAGGGATAACTTGCACCCAAAAATGAAAGTTCTGTCATTATTTATTCACCCCCATGTCATTCCAAATATGTATGACTTTTTCTTCTGTAGAGCACAAAGGATATACAATGAATGTCAAGGGGGTCTAAGGCAGTGTTATTTTTAGTATTATTTATGTACTATTATAGTTTTTATTATTTTTTAAATGAAGTTTAATAAGTTTTCATCTTAAATTTTGTTTACATTTTAGTAATTTTAATCATCTTTTCCCCCCAAAATATTATTATTTCAGTTTCATTTTTTTTTTTCAGTTTTAATACTTATTTCAAGTAATTTTAGCTTTTCAACTTAAAAATAATTTCAGTTAGATGCCTATGCATCATTTAATTTTTTTTATTTAAGTTTTTAATACATTTTAAAATTTTTGTTTAGTTTTAACTTTTTCATCTAATATTTCTATTTTATTTAAGCTTTATCTGAATTACCAAAACTGTTTAAATAGTTTTAGCTAACAATATTAACCCTAGTTCAATGTCAATTGGACCGCTTTCAAAACATCTCCTTTTGTGTTTCAGAGGAGAAATAAATGCATACAATGCAAGTTTGAAAGAACATGAGAGTGAGTAAATGACAATGTTCCTTTCTTTGTGAAGTACATGAATTTGGATGCAGCCTCTTAAAGAAAACGCATTATAATCTGTAAAGGTTTGCTTTAGCATTGTGTAACAAACTGGGAAAAAAACTTGCGACATCATTTAGGAATCACATATTTTTAGCTTCTTCACTTACTTGACGAACCTGTCTGTCTCTCGGAGTATATATATATAGGGGCTGAATGAGTCATGGACAGTGAAGAGAGCGGAAGGGTTGGGGAGATCTGAAAGGTGTTTATGGAGAAGCTGAGAATTTCACAGCTTCGAAACCCACCACACGCAGCGTCCGTGTCTCATATTTCTAATAACCATGGAGACCAAGCCATAGTTGTATTTACAAAAGTGCATATGCACTAAAAATATGCCTTTACCTTCCAGACATAAATCCTGTGAAAATACAGAGTGACATCAAACAATGACATATCTGATATTTGGTGACAGGTAATCCAATCTTTAGCTTGTTGTTTCCGTTTTGGATTACAGCATGTTAAGGTATAGGTCAGGTGTACTTGTGAAAGACAGGCTGTTGACTTTGGTTTGTTGATGGGAACATAAAGGGGCTGATGGGGGTCCAAAGCACTCAGACCACTCAATATATCATTACTGTCACTCACGAGGGGGTCCATGAGAGCCTGTGCGTCTATAAATCTAGCATGGGCAGATAGTAGGATTACAAGTGGCAAGCTTGTTGTTTTAATTCGTTAGCTTCGCAGATTTCTTCACAGCCATTGTGGCATTCAGAGGGTGGGAGATCGGATCATTCGAGGTATTTCTCTCAACATGAGTGCAAAAAGTCAATAGTTTAACTTTACAGAGACCTGTGCATAGACATGTTCCTACTAAATGCATGGTACTGTTATGGTAAGTTGTTTAGATGCAATTTTACAGATAAATACGTCAGAACACGTAGTTAGCCAACTTTTAGTATCGCTTACGTTACTAAAACCTGATAGTTAGGGAACTATCAGGGAGAGTTTTTGTTCTTCTTAATGGAGAAAAAAAGTGAAAAGTAAAATATAAAGAATGTGCAAATTTTAAATTTAAATTTAATACCATTCAAACGGTTTTGAAAGAAGCATCTTATGGTCTCCAAGCCTGAATTTACTTGATC